GCTGCAAACTCCTGTGGAAATCCAGTGTGCAGTTGCTATAGACACACTTTTAATTCATAACACGTGCGCGCACACAGCAAACAGACCAACACTAACGTACATAAACCCTGTGCGTAATTTGGATCAGTTAATTTTAGGCCGATACACTAAGTCTTCCAAAGCCTTCCATCTGGCTACAAACAAACAAATGTGGCTCTTTAAAGAACACGTGAAACCCTGAGTGATAAGACTCATTCATTTGAAGATTACACAGCTTACAGTAATAGTTAACCGCTCTTTGGGAATATGTTCTTACATTTCCTCTCAAAAGCAAATAAACACACATGGATGAGCTCATCAGGGAGTGGTGCACAGTGATGCAGTGTGTTGTGGAGGAATGTGTCTCAGCTCAGACTTGACAATCCGGCACATTAGAGCAACAACAGTTAGCTTTAACGCACCTTCAACATGTGGCTCACGGAGAAACCTAAACAACGCCACAGCCTAGCTAGCGCACACGCATTTGAATTGCTCATTGTTCCGTTCACCTATAAAGCTGTGACCCATTTTCCTTTTTTTGTGTGTGTGCAAGCAACGAAAAGAGATCAAACTAAGGATAACAATGATAAAGAATAAAGCTCCCTCAGAAAGGTGAGAATGCATCACCTTTTTCAAATGATGTTTGGAGAGCTGCACGTGCAAATAATTTAAAACAGACAACAAAAACTTGTGGAACACCACAAAAACTAAATCCCCGTAATTGGCCACAGATCAGTTACAAGAGTTGGCGTGAGAAGAACGCTTTAGAAAACCCTTCATTAGTCACAACATTTTGTTGCTGCATCTTCAATAGCAGCTGAAATAATTGCTAACAAAAGAAAAATATTTTAGATGTGCTTATTGGTGCGTTATTTACATTGGTTTAATTCAAATTCTTACATGTTGATCTCTTCAGCCTTTCTAGAATGAATATGGGAAGTTCATTGCAGACACAAACTACACATGTTCTTGAAAACGACAAGTCTAGGTCAGAAATGTCAGAGGATTTCAACAAACCCCAACAGGCTCTGACTTTCAGTCGTCATGGGAGAACTGAATTCACCTTTGCTCTAACAGAAATTCATCACCAGAACGGAGTCATCAGTTCAGCTCAGTTCAGGGGGAAAAGAATAAACACTGCACGCCAAAAAAAGAAAAAAAAAGGTCAAATCTAGGTTCAGCAACATGAAACTAAAAATGAGGACAGCTGAACGTACTTGAGGACCAGAGACGTACTGCCAGGTTTAATCTGGGTCAAACTGTAACAGAATGGTTCAGAGGGTAGGAGAGACATCATATTCTATCAAAACTATCTGAGGACACTTTCTAAATCATGCAACTCTCCCATTATAATGACATAATTTAGAGGAATGTAGCGACGGACGACTGATCAAAAATAAGGATTGCCATGTAATCTTTTTTGTTGTTGGATGAATTAGAAGTTAATTTATAAGTGTGTACCTTCCTTTTTACTATAATATTGAGGAAAAGAAAAAAATGCTGTCTACTTGCCCTTCAATTTGGCTTAAAAATGCTTAAAAAGCAAGACACCTGTTTGATAGACAACATGACTGAGAAACATCTCTTATAGCTGATACTTGAATGTGGAAGGATTTATGACTCGCAGCAAAATGGTGAAATGGCAGTAACATGTTCTCACACACATGACATCATATTTACAAGTGAGAAAACAAACTCATACAGATAATTCATTTCTATAGTCATGGGTGTCATTTCTATATTTTACTTTCAAATGGTTCAGGCAGCTTGATAAGAAGAGGTGAAGGGACTCTGCATGCATGTCGTCTGACTGTAGTGTCCAGAACCTGGAAAAATGTCCGTGCCTTTGCCGGCGCTAAGTTTAGGATTTTGGAGCGTGTGAGAGGTCAAGCATGAGTCGAGGGTGAGGCAACTAGAAACTGACATCTGACCCCCATGTGAGCTCACAGTCAGTCGGGGTTAGAGATGAGCCACAGCTACTACAAAATGTCAGAGCCTACAATGCCTACAGATTTCTGAAGAACTCGTTCAAAAATATCAAATTTCAGAGTGGTCATTTATCATCTATGTCTGCTCACCCACACAATCACTTCAGGGACCACAAAGCATGTATGTCCAAAAAGAAAAGTGCTGCTCGATGTGGTTACATTCAGATTTTTAAATACAATAAAATGTGTCTGCTCTTTGCAGCCTGAATTCTCACAAAAAGCAATCTGGAGAAGTTGACTTGCTGCTGTCACTGGTTATGATTCAACAGCAGACTGTTTACGAACACACAAGACAGAAAGTGAACTGTACAAACGCGTATCACAAACTCAACACAAAGTTCGGTTTTGAAACAAAGCTCAGACACACATTAAACCTGGGAATCCAGGCTGAAAACGAGACAGAAAGGTGTCCATCTAGGATCAAATGGCCATCAATAAGGTCTAAATAAAAAGGAAAGGCTGACTGAAGGTGACTTAGGAAACAAGCACAACTTTCATTGAAATAAATAACAAAACATCTGTATCAGGTTTTTTTTATGACAGGAAGTGGTGAGTAAACTAGTCATATGGCAGGTTCAATGACAGTATGCTGTCTCTCCCGGTGGGAAACCATAATTGCACATGACCATTTCCTGTTTCCCATCAACCAGCTCCACTCTGAGGCCAATCCTGCATCCTGTGGCAAAAATGCTTTTGTAATTTATGCACAGCTGAAGAAGAGGCACTGTCTCATGGGCCTCATAAGAGAGGAAAAAGAAAGAAAACAGTGAACTGAAGCCAAGAATGTGGGCATTGCTTGTCTAAGAGACTTGTTCAAACCTGAAGAGCAAAAACGTTACATCCAACTGAGCTTAATAATAACACAATAGCTGCTCTTCCCTCCTGACAGCACTTATATGAGCCTTAGGAATTCTGAGATTCATTTCTGCACAATGCGGTCTCTTTAAGGTTTTTTGAAAAACACCAATATTCATTTACTTTAACAGTGAAAACAAATAGTTCAGCCTTAAATGTTTTTGTGCATTCTTTTGGATGGAGCGGGGGCCACTAACAGATACGCTGCATGCTATGTTGCTGCAGGGCAAAAAAACAAGGAGGTGAAACGGTTTAAAGTTGAGTAAGTGCTATTCTTGATTTAACAGGATGTTTACAAAGGACCCTGCAGCAAAGAAAAAATGCTAATAAAGAAACCATCCATAACTTGCTTTAATTATAGTTAGACAGTGGGCTATGCAGCACAGCTACGTACAAAGAATCTCTGTCCCATAAACCCACCCAGGCTGAGGAGAGACGGGGGAGGAAGGGAAAGAGAGAGGGTGTCTGAATGAATGAGCATGTGAGCAAACAAGCGAGTGTCCACTAGCGAAAACATCCAAACATTTGAACATTTGGCTGTAGAGCAATGCGCTTCTGCAGCTAACCATTATATTCTGACTCCCTGTGAAGGACAAAAGTCAACAGTGGAGTTGTCCCATACGGTCAAGTAGGGCTAATTTTTTTCATTATCACACATATCTGCAGCTATAATCGAATTAGAAAAACTCAAACTGAGGCAAAATTCCTGCATGTACAAAGATCTTCAGATAGATACAATAACATTCCTCCAGAATGTCTCAGATTTAATAATCAGACAGAGGGCCTTTTTCCAACGCATGTCCAAGCAGTAAACAAGATTCCTCATCAAAGGAGACAGTGTGACAGGACCTACTAACCTGATTACTGCCTCATCAACTTGTTGTTGAGAAGAACTCGTGACAGCCAGTTTGTGACTGTGTATTTCAGGTCACAGACACTAAACAAGTTAAAAATAATCCCTTTTTTACACTTAATCCTTTAAAACATCAATCAGAGTTTCAAAGGCAGTGCATGAAGGCCCATAACTAAACCAGACAGAGAAACTTCAAGGCTTTAAGGCTTTTCCCTTTCCTAGTCAAAGATCAGCTTTTGACACTTTGAAAAATGTGCTAGGAGAATGCATTTTTGTAACAAAAAAAACAACCATCCATCACATTGAAAACAAACCTGGCAGTTGCATTTCTGGAGATCTGTATTAGCACTAAGTTTGAACATGTTTGGACCAGACAATAAGTAGATAAATAATGTGCTCAACATATCAAGCCAGTGATATCATCCCTCATATACAGCCCAGACCTTTTGGAAGGATTTCTGACTGTGTGTGAGTTAAAAAGTCTTTCCCTGTATTTTTTCTTTTACCTCTTAACAGCTGCAGCGCAGACAAAAATGTTTTCAGATTATGGGGCCAGAAAATGAAGCACAATATAATCTCTTTTGAAATTCCTTTAATCCTTTTGAAGGCCATATGTTTCATAGTGCTTCAAACTTTTTTTTTTTTTTTGAAAGGCACATTTCTTACCCTTTTTCTCTGAATCCGAAAAGAGACTGAGATTTGTACAGTTTAAAAAGAAAGAATCTTTAAGTTATTGCATTCTTATTAAAGATGTAATTCCCCAGAACGCACTAACCATGTGCACACTCTATCACACGTGGAATTATGAGGCCCATGTGCAGCTGTGGACTGTGCTGAGCCTCAGCTGAAAGGGGAGACACACACAGAGAGAGATGGATGGCATGCAGAGTTGTTTTCTGTTTGCTGTCAGTGAACGCTTTGCCATCTGTAGAGTGAGAGACCGCACCAGCATCAGGGTCACTTGTTTGTCACATAGAGAGATTGTTCCAGCTACCCCTCGGCAAACGTTACAACATGCCAAGTCGCAGCTGCAAACTCTGTCTGTTAGTCCAAGCATGCCCTGTGATGAAGGGAAGATGCCTGAAAATAGACTTCATTTATCAGTGACACCGTTTGTGTTTTGGATGAAACCATCTAGATATGGAAACTAAAAAAGGTAGAAACGTGTTCTTACACTGACACAACCCATTTGGAAAATAAGAGGTAAAAGCAAGAAATAACAGCAAACACCAGACACTCAGAAATAAATCATGTCAATCTAGGAAAATAGATTTTCTTTCTTTTACCTGCAAACTGAGCGCAATTTGGCGGATATACATCATGTTGAGGTCCTCCAGTATCCACAGTTTTTCCTCCATATTTACGGATTTATCAGTTGGCATCCCTTAGGCAGCTCACCGCAAAACGACTTCTTCTGGAAGTTAAGTAACAAGGTTTCAAACAGTTACCTCGCAACTGACGCGCACATAAACTTCATCCTGATAGTGCCTCCTGCGGTTGGCACTTGTGCAATCGGTGCGTAAAAACTATGCGCAAGAGTCCCAGTCCTTATCCAGAAAAAATCTGGTAACTCCAGGAGAGAAAAACTTGAGGTGGAGTGGATGACAGCATCGACTGCACTGTAGTATAACCCAGAGCCTGAAATCCCCCCACCCAGAGTCGTTCACGCCACTTATTCTTCTTCTCACTTTTTTTTTCCGGGCAACAAAGATCCTCTCAAACACCCACAGTCAACATCCAGCGGCAGCGGGGGAATAAATGGAGCCTTTTAAAAATGAAGTTCTTCTCTTTGTGTCCTTGTGTTGCGATTGTGAATGGCGTCTGTCCTCTGTGACGGGAGACCTTTCCACAAAAGGGCATCGCCTCCGCGGGAGTGATCGGCACAACTAGTCCACTGTGCGCCCTGGCACTCCCCTCCCCGGTGTTAAATTAACCCCTACGACGCGCCTCGTGCGTTGATAAACTCAAAAAATAAGAAAAAAAGAAGGGGATTGATAGAGAGATTAGCAGAAACCACGCCTTTAAACAAATAAATAGCAAATACCGCCCCAGCACGCAGGCATAACAGGGTGGGGAGTTTGGCTCTTAATAATAATTGGGAGAAATCTGAACCGTGTCCACTTGTGCTTCTGCTAAGCGGATAAGATTGAAAATGAACCGTGAATATGTCCAGTTACTTGAGTAATTAACCCCTTAGATAGAACTGATTGGGAACAAATGCGAGCGATTTGAACAAGAAGACGTTTTAGCAAACACAGCTGAATATCATCTGAGCAAGCTGTCCCACGACATGTTTATCCAAGGACATATTTGGCAGCTCGTGGACGCGTAAACTTCACACGAAGCGTTGAAATATATTCACAAGAACGATTAACTTAGAAAAAAAATCATAAGAAATTGGAACAGAAATGAGAAGTTTACTCCATGTGACTTCCCTGTGCCACAGATGGTCCCGCTTCTGTGTGGGAAAACTGGCAGTCAATCTTCTTCAGCTTTTCAGAACACTTAAATACACAAAGAACCCAGCGACTAAAATATTAATTTCCTTTTCTTCTCTGGAGTGCCAATTCCGACCCAGAGCAGCTGTTAAGTGTGAGTAGCGCGCACCTCTCCCTCTGCTCTGTGTGAGTGGGACCAAACTGCGCACAGCGACCCCTCTACAGGAAACCGCTACGTTGCGGATTTCTCAACGAGCCACAGTAAATAAAATGCAAACATGTTTCCAAAAAATTCCGGGAGTTCATAGTTACTCACTGATCCCCCCACAGACCCTTTCAGCTTGCCATGACATTAGGGACCCCATCTCTCCACACACGCCCTGAAACACGTGCTCTTAACTTTTTACATATGCAAACAGGGAAAACAAAAGAGGCTGTGAGAGCCCTTTCACCCCAGAGGAGCAGAGTCAGGGGTGCTAAGAGAAAGCTGGGTCATTTCCCCAAGAAAAGCCTCCACCCAGAGACCTCAAATCGCCCGGTTAATCTGCGGCGGGTACCAACAAAAGCAGTGAGACAGGAGATTTACTGTTCTAAGGTGGGGAGAGAAATAGTTTGCATTAATGTATAGAGCGAGGGTTAAGGGGGTTCTGAAAACATTTTGAAACTCTGCTGAGGAACTGCACATGCACAGGATAAACAAATCATCATGTGCAAAATTCATTTTTGCTAAGATCCCATGAGAGTTGAGCTGGCAAATTTCTGAACTAGAAAAATATTTAACAAGAAATCACATTTGCTGGCCACAGTACCGAACTGAAAACGAGCTTAATAACCTTAATGAGGAGTCTGTGAAGGCGTTTTCTTTCTCAGAGACTTGAAAAAACAAAAAAACACATTGCACAAGTTATGTACATATGAAAGAAACATATACAAAAATACTGAAGAAAGACAACCTTTTTAACCATGACTTCAAACCTTATGTGACAGCGGCAGCAGCTCGTCATGGAGAGCACGCTACAGGTAAATCTCCAAATAGTAAAGCATGAAAACCAAGATGAAAAAAACCCTAGAGGCATAACAAAACAAAAAGAAATAGCTATTGTCTCTATGACAGGGCTGTCTGCAGGCGACCAGCACCCAACTCAGCTGGCCCAAAGCCACAAAGGATGAAGCAAACTCAGCCATCCAAATCATGGTTAGAGAAAAGTTCTAACACCTTTCAGCCATGGTGGGATTTTGCTAGGTTAAATGTTGGGGAGGTGTGTTAGCAATGTGTGACTGAAACAGAGCCAGTTGTGCTAAGCGGCTGCTATGAAAGTGTTGTGAAACCAATGCATTACACAATCCAATACAAATGGAGAGAGTCCACCAGAACGGGGGAATATGCACACATGAGCACACACAAATCACAGGCTGCCGCTTATGTTACGAGCTCCGAGAGGATTGGACCGCTTTCAAGACAATACCCGGAGCTTTGCTGTTTGTGTAAGGAAGTATGGAGGAATAGGGAAAACGTCCTTTTCATTCACTTAATCAGCTGGAGGAAGCACGGTGGAGTCAGAGCTGAGGTTATGCTGGTGGCGGGGCTCCACAGGAACGCGGTTATGTTGGTGTTTGCAATGGATTACAAAAATGAATAGGAAATACTGTTCACTGGAAGTGAGATTTATAGCCAAATCTGTAAAAACACATTTGGTGGTCAATACGAAATGAAATGAGAAATGTAAAAATGGCAAAAGAAATGAAAAACTGCCTATTATTAATGAGAATTGATAAACAAGAGAGTGAGTAGGACCGTTTATCGTTACAAATTCAAGAATTTGTGTTCGAGTTTATTACAACTTTGTATGTTTGCTTTTATTTTTAGCTACGCTCGCCTAAGACGTGATGTCGTCTTACTGACTGTTCCAGGCTGAAATACCTCCTCAACAGAATATAATCAAATGAGTTTTGGCCGAGGCATTTACGAAGTAAATGCAAACCCACGTCCTTAGCACTATAACTCTTACAACCTCCCATGAAATGAATTGTTCAGATCCTTAATTCTAATGTAACTTGTGGGGAATCAGGAGGAAGGGCAATCATCTACCAGCTAGGACATGATTGTACAACAGATTGATTCTCAGCTTCCACAAACGTCGTGTCAAATGTCAGAGAGCATGTGTGATAGAGAGAAAAAAGTAGAGTGCATCTTATAACATCGATAGACGAAGATGTTCAGAATGTGTGTTTAAGAAATGGTGAATGTGATCTGTTGGGAAGCAATCAACTCTGAGTGTCCAGCAGGGTCAGAAAAGCCCTGTTAAAGCACAGTCCATTTAACATTACATAAAATAGTTGGAGAGCATACAAAAAAGTTATACACAAAACTTATCATCAAGATGTTCAACTTATTTGCTTTATTTTGCCTAAATTCTTAACCTTAAAACATGTCAGCTATTGCAAACATGAATAAAAACATGAACAAATGAGGACAAACTATGCCTTCTGGGGATTGTCAATACAATATGTTCAGTCACAGATTGACACTGTGATGGAGATAAAACAACCAAAAAAGCATTTAATCGATCTTTCCTTTGGAGTATTAAGTGTGAGGTTTAATATCCCGCTTTTGACAATTGTAGACAGTTTGGATACGAACTGGCAGCATGACTTTTGGACCCCTTGAGCTACTGAGTCCAATGTGCTGTGTAATCTTCTTTGTGTTGAAAATGTCTAATTCTGAAAATGTAACAGTTAAAGGAGTAATTTCCTCACTTAAATGAAAACTGTGCCTAAACCGCATCAAAATGACTTGTTTTTATCCCGTTTATTTGATTTCACCATGAAACACATTCGCATAATGTCTGCCCAGTGGCTAGTTTAGCACATCTGAAACAAAGAACCAGCAGCTGCCTCACTCATAAGAACACAATAATCATCTAAATAACCATTATAAAAGGTTTTAAAATGTGGTTGATCTGATTTCCAGGTTGGTCTGCCTCCTCCAGGTGAAATGACTAAATCTCAGTCAAACACAGTCAAACAGAGGAATCATGGCCAAATGAGAAATACATATAATAACCAGCATGAATAATTAAACTCCACATGCTTCTGAACACAATATTCTTGTTGAAATGAGCAATCTTCAAAACAAAATGTTAATTGTTCGGCATTGTAAAGAAAAACAAAGATGTTGATTGTTTTCATGTGTAACTGCGTTTCAGCTTCTAATCAGCACAAACTGCCACTCTTATCGCTAACCTTTTATAGTCTGTATGCAAAAGGTTTAAAGCTGATGTTAGTTCTACTACACAGAGGGCTGGGAACCACACAAAGCCCTCAGACAGCCAGGCCCAAAACCACAACAAAGAACCCTGACTTTCATCTAAATCTATCTGAAAACTGAGCCCCGCCACGGCTCCCGCTCATTCAAAACACAAACATACACACAAACCATACCGGCATTCACACACATGTGCTCTAGACAGAAATAACCATAGGCACCCTCACACTGACACCGTAACACAAAATGAAACAAATCCAGCTAATGGAGGTTCGTCTGTGTGATTATAGCTCGCAAACCGAAGCCCTCCCTGTTGTTTCCCACAGAGCAAAGCAGTCAAATAAAAGAGGGAATTATTGCAATGCCCCTTCTTGGTGTATTTTTAAACTCCTGATTAAAAGAGCGGCTGGACCACCCAACTTTCCCCGTGGAAAAAGTTGATTAAAAATAACATGAAAGAGAGCTTATAAAAAGGTCTCACAGTTTTAAGACGAGGTGGCGGAAAGAATCCGACTCAACTGATTTGAATATTGTGAGGCACATCTGATTACACGGCTGTGCGGCAGCAGGGTTACATCTGTTAGGCTGGATGACATCAGCCTGTGATGAGCTGTGAAACCAGACGTCCCCCAAGAGATCGCTTTTCAGCTTTAAAACGTGAAAAAACCTGTGCTGACAG